TTTGAACTTTTAGTGTGATTGCATTTTATTTATAGAGTAGTTTAGGTGAAAATTATATTTTAAAAATATTCATCTGTCCAATAATAAGATGGACTTTTTCTGTGCATTTCCAAGTCTTAATAGCAGAAGTAGAATATCTAAAAAAATACTATTGTCTTTACTTGAATCCCTGTCCTTCTAATTATATCTGTATGGAGAGCTGAGGAGGGTCTTGGATGGGGTCCTCTCTGCAAGGAAATAGCATCAGGGATGCTGGCTGATGATAGATGAATCCTAGGTGAAGGAATAGCATGTCACATAAGCTTCATGTTACCATTGGCTTCTCTTGTCCAAGTGCCATGTACTCAGCTGAGGAATGCTGAGTTAGAAAACTCTAATGAGAGGTCACAGCAAGCTTCCCTGAGCCAAATGATGAAAAAATGAGAGGAATAAAGTAGAGGGGAACAAAGAGTACTCCAGGCAAATATAGCTGCATATGCAAAGGCCCTGTGGTGAGCGGAAGTGTGGCAAATATAAACACCTGAAAAGGTGGGGGGTTCTGTATTATCTTCTAGCTCATAGGGCTGAAGAGAACTAGCCTGTTTCTTTTTCCCACTGTAAATAATCTGTTGGTTCTTCCTAAATGGGTGTGTATCATTTCTTTGCTTCTGAATACATTATTTTCCTTAGAATTAGTGTTTATTTTTTATTTTTCTTAAGTTCATTTCCTCTTACATTTGTGTATTTTATTTTTCTACTGGTTTGAAGCTCTCTTTACACTTATGAAACAATTTCATTGTGCCTCCATAGTTCTCCCTGAAAAAAATCCCTCCTGTTTTATTTTCACTGCATGTTAGGACCTTTCCTTATTTTCAGTATTTACCTTTGCCAGTTTTAATTTTTTTTATGCCTTATTTTTAGAAGCGGGGGTTCCAGGGTACCTGCACTTTTTTGCCACCACCTTTTTCAGAACGTGTAAGTCTGTTATGGAAAGAACAACTTCATAAGTGCTCCCCCTCCGCTTTTTTCCCCCTTTACTGGGGATTGAACCTATGTGTAGAAGCTAGGCAAGTGCTCTACCACTGTGCTGCATCCTGGTCTCAGACTCTTTAAATTATTCCAAGGAGATATTAGATAATCCCCAGTTGTTAAAATAACTTCATTCTTACTCACTTGAGCAACCCCATTACTTGCAATTGTTCGTGTCTGTAACAAGAGCAGATTCGCAGTCCATGGATGAAATACGCAGTAGTCTGGTTGTGGTGAGTTGAGGAGACTGCGGGAGACTTCCTGTCTCCACTGTTTCCCGGCCGCTGAGGTACTGAGCCTCCCACCGGAAATGGTTCACTGTGGCTCCATTCGCATGAAATTCATTTATTGGATTTAGTTATCCCGATCGGGCCATTCAATCTCCAAGATGGATGGCTACGAAGGCAGGAAGAGGAAAGCAGTACAGATCCTGGCTTTTCCAAGAGGGAGAGAGAAGTGGGGTGAAAAAAAAAAACGTGTAAAAGATGGTCCCCTCCTGAAAGATTTTTGACACGAGGATTTTTGACACAATGAAAATTTTTTTAGAAAATTAAGTTCATTTCAGATGATAAAAATTTTGGTTAGATTTACTTATAGTGGATGTTTTGTTGCCATTTAAATTTCATTTTCTGTGATTTGATATTAGTATAGAGGAATATAATAGATACTTTGTTTAAAAATTCTTAGGTTGCTATATTGATTAATTTACTGGTCTTTCTTTACTTTTCAAAACTTATTAATAAGACTTTTACAAGGAAGTGTCTCAGCAAACCTGAGACTCACTGTAGGGGAACTCAGCCGATTCACCTTTTGAGAGGACTCATTCTCACAAGAGAGGGAAGAGGTTTTCAGCGCCTTCTCTGATGATGAATTTTCTTTCTTTTCTTTTTTTTTCTTCCTTCCTTCCATTCTTCTTGTCTTCCTTTCATCTCTCTCTCTCTCTCTCTCTCTCTCTCTCTCTCATTTTTCTATCAGGAATTGAACTCAGGACCTTATGCTTTCTAGGCAGGTGCAGCGCTACTGAGCTACATCCTCAGCCCTCTCTCTTACACCAGGAAAAATTCCTGTTTGCACAGGTACAGTAATAATGAAGATGGAGAAACTTGGTAACAATAGGTCAAGATGGGATTCAGACCAAGTTTCGCATAACAAAAACGATACTGATAAATTCTGTTGGTTCTTTGGTGTTTGGGGCAATCTCTTTTTTAAATTTTCATTATGATTATTAATATTTGTACAAATTGATAGGATCCACTGTGATATATACAGGCACATGTTCTATCCTTTCCCTCCCTGCTTTCTCTATTCTCCATCTAGTTTTTTTCCCCAGCCCCTAGTACTAGTAGTCCTTCTACTTTCAGGTCATCTCTTTGTTTTGCATATGAAAGAACATGCAATACTTGGCTTTCTGCATTTTTTTTTTTGGTACTAGGGACTGAACTCGGGTCCTTGCACTTGCAAGGCAGGCAGCGGAACCACTGAGGTAAATCCCCAGCCCTTGGCTTTCTGTATACAGCTGATTTTGCTTAGCATGATTATCTCCAATTCCATCCATTTCCCCACAGATGACAGGGTTTCATTCTCTTTTATGGCTGTATAATACATATCTAGGAATCGATACAGAAAGAAGTGTGATCTATATCTATGTATAGATACAGATATAGATCATGTTTCTTTTATTCCTTTATCTGCTGACAGGCACCTAGGCTGATTCCACAGCTTGTCTGTTCTCAACAGTGCTGCAACAAGCATGGGTGTGTGGGTATCTCTTTTGTGCGCTGACTTAATTACTCCTTCGGACGTTTACCCAGAAGTGGGACAGCTGCATCATACAGTTCAGCTTTTAGTTTTTTGAGGAAGATCCATACTGTTTTCCATAATGGCTACGCTAATTTACATTCCCGCCAATAACACTTGTCTGTCTTCTCCCTTTCTTTCTTTCCTTCTAAATAGCCGTTCTAACTGGAGTGAGGAGGAATCTGATTATAGTTTTGATTTGCATTTTCCTGCTGGCTAAAGAAAGTGAGCAATTTTAAGGATATTCACTGGCTATTTTTATTTCTTTTGAGAATTGTCTTTTCAGACAGTTGTCCATTTTTTTTATTGGATTGCTTGGGAGTTTGTTATTTGTTTTAAAATTCTTTATATATTCTGTATAAAAGGCTTTTCATTCACATCCTTGGTTAGATTCAGATTTGTTCACTCAGACATAGCTGTAGATACAGACAGATAGTGGCATTGTGAATGAGATTATTTTCTCCATTCCTTTCTCAAAAAGTTATTATTGGCATATAAAAACACTATAGATTTTTTTGTAGGTTGATTTTGTATCCTAGGCAGCATCTTTTTTGAAAAATGAATATTTGTGGCTTTGGAACAGCAGAATACACTAAGTCTAGGAACAAAATTGTTTTGCTTGCATGTTAATAAGTTCATGTTCTCTGATTATCACTCATCCGCTCTAAGATGCCTTTAATTATATCACATGTAGTTATTCTGCATACTACTAAGAAAGAAAAAAATGCTCTTTGTGGAGTTCTGACATTCTCAAAAGTACTATAGGGAGCATTCTGATTTCAGAGATGTAATATTTGAAAAAAACACATCTTAGAATCAATGAGAGGATATTTTTCACAAAGCCATGAAAATGAGGGGAACTGACATCCTGAACAGCTGGTTCCTCCATCAGATATATCTCACTGTGCATTCAGCAGATACAATTATACTTTAAAATTCTATTTGCCACACATGGTATTTCTAAGAACAATCAAGATTATTGATCGAATACTGTTAATATGCAGAGCCAGTGCTCTGAATAAGTAACTTTAAATCTGTGAGTGATACTCCACATTTCTCCGTGATCTGTTTGAGAATTTCCCCAATTAACTATTTTCTTCCCCGGGGAAAGCAGTCTGCAGTGCCTGTTGCCCAGGCCGGGCTGTGTGAACTGCTCCCATCACTTTTCTAAATCCGCCTGCAGCCTTCTGAGCAGAAGCCTCTCCTTTCCCTGGAAGGTTTCACCAACCCTCAGAAATGACTTTAATTGCCCAGCCTCAGCTTGAATTACAGTCGCTCATCATAATCGTGAGCACTCCAGCAAACCTTACCCCTGCCTTCATGACACTGGGTTCTCTGGGTTAGAGCTGCTCAGTGGCCCCTTCCTTCAACATCAAAACATTTTTGCATAAGAAATGTTTTCAATGCTATGCCAAGATTATTACAGCATGTGAGGGATCTGCATGCAGGATTGTATGTGGAGAACAATTGCCCACACCCCCACTCTCTGCCTGAGTGACATTTTAGCATGTGTCTGTCCACTTTTTTTTTAACCATATAAAGTTTTACATGGCTGAGATCATTCTTATGTATATTTTGAAATGTTTCTTTCACTCAGTGTCATGTTACACAGTGTTGCTAATGGCCTTTAACAGGTTTTTTTTGAATTCTTCAGATATATTAACAATTCCTTTATTGCTTGTTATCTGGGTTGTATCTGCTTTATTTTTTTGCAATTCTAACCTTAAAAGAAGCCCTTCTATATAAAATCTCTACATTTTGATTGAGGGACAGCATCAGCTTTAAATGCAACTGATTTATGCTGTTAAATTTCTTGCAAGGGAAAAAGAAGTCATAATAATGATTTATAGTCCAATCAAAGGGAAAGGAGTAAGTATGAAGGACGGCTATGTTTATTTAATACAATGAGCTATAAAATAGTCCAGAGTTGAACGGAGAAGCTGAGACACAGAGATGTCATCTCCTCTTGGGTGACATCAGTCCTTGGGGTCCAGGGATCTACTGCCTTCTCCCCCAGCCAGTACCTTCCCCTCCACCACACTAGGGCCCTGGTGGTGTTGGCTCTCCCGGGGATGGTCTTCCGCTTGGGTAGGGAGTAGAGAGCGCCCAGATCACCAAAGCTCATCTGCGTTTGCCTTGCAACCAAAACCAACACTTGTGTTTCTGTTTTCTTTTGTGTCTGGACTCGTTCTTAGCATCTCCTCTGCCCGCGATCTGTTCCCGCACTCCGTAAGACTGGCACCCGCGGAGATGCAGGCCCAGGGGGTCGCAGGGAGGAAGCGAGGGCGGCCGCCCCTCCACTCCACGCCTAGGAAGATGCCGGGTCACGGCCTTTTCTCCGCTTCCGCCGCTTCCCCACCAGCAGTGAAGATCCCGAGGAAAAGAGGGCGGAAACGGGGACACAAGGTAGGGCTCCCTCACCACTTCTCCAAAGTGCTGCTGGGCCGGGACACGCGGGGGCTGGAGCAGAACCCAGGGCACCACGCGATGCAAGAGGAGGAGCCGAGCAAACACAGGGGGGACGGCGTCGCTCTCGGTGAAGCTGTGGCCTAGATCCCACTGTCACAGCGCGTGCGGTGTGCACTTCTGTGGGGGGAGAGAGCAGACTGCACCAGAAGCGGGGGGGGGGGGGGGGGGGGGGGGGGGGGGGGGGGGGGGGGGGGGGGGGGGGGGGGGGGGGGGGGGGGGGGGGGGGGGGGGGGGGGGGGGGGGGGGGGGGGGGGGGGGGGGGGGGGGGGGGGGGGGGGGGGGGGGGGATGCGCGGCGATTAGTGCTTCACATATGGAGCTTTTTCCTGCTCTTACTAGGGCGGCTTTGAATCCACTTTCCAGAGCTCCTTGGTCAGTCACTGCAGCAGAAGCAGATGCTGCCGCCAAGATACTGAAACGAATAAAATGAATATCGTAGCGTCAAAGTTCCCGAGCAGAGCCTGGACTCTCGACTGGAGGAAAACCCAGGGTGCTAATTCGTAGTTTCCCACTTCGGAAAGATGCTGACATCAAGTTTGGCTACACTGAGGCAGATAGGGCAAATTTAAAATTCTGTGAGCCTTTTAGGAATTAAAGGGGCCACCAGAGAAGAAGGAATATGAAGATGGCTCCACACAGGCAGTTCAGGCATTGGGAAATGCGTTTCAGAAGTTTTATCTTTCTTTAAATCAAGGTTTGCATTTCCCTCTAAAGACTCCAATGCTGTCACCAAAATGCAAATTGGCAATGAAGTCTCTTATATTTAGGAAACTGTATGGCAATTACTTCAGGTCAGCAGAAAAAGCTGCTGCTGGAGGAATCGATAGTGAATTCGATCTTTATCCTTTGGTTCTCCCAGTTTTTTTCAAATTTGAGAAAGTGGAGGAAAGGTTGGTTACTCAAAATTATTTTGGGGTCATTGGTTTTAGTTTTATAAAAAGCTTTTACTCAGGCCTCTCGTGAGGCAGAACCTCCTGTCCCTGGCTATTTCTCTAACAAAGGGAACCTCCTCTGTTCCTGTAAGGCCAGCTTCAGAATTGTGTCTCTGAAGGGGCCCCAGGGCACCTGTCACGCTCTCAGCGCCTGTGCCAACCCCAGCATCTGGGAATCGCATCTGAAGGGCTGGCACAGGGTGGCCCTTCTGTTGATGGAGCCAGGGAGAAAGTCCAGGCTCTGAAGAAACATACTGAAAACTTCACTCTTCTATTTGGCCTGCTTCCTGCTCCCCTGGGGGCTGTGACCCAAAAATAAAAACTACCAACAGACACTGCATTTCTGGGGCCAGAAAGAATGGAAATTTACTCCGTGGAATGGACTTGATTTTAAAACTTTTCCTGTCTTGTAAAAAAATGAGCCATTTTCAATGCTCTTATTACATGGAGACACCCCCGAGCAGGACAAAAGCTTTTGGGTTGGTTGGCTGACTACTGAGGTCCCGCGTGAAGCAAGCAAGCCTGTTCTCATTTCCCCACAGAATTTCCTTTCTTGGAATAACAGGCCACAGCTCTTTTTTTGCGGGGGGATGGTATCTTGTTCCTATATATTTAGGAAAATATATGGAAATTATTTCAGGCCAAGAGCTTCTAGAAGCTTCTCAGACCATGACCTTAGTGTCCTTGAATAATTCCACACCATGAGGTGAGAAAAATAAAGACCATTTGGAAGTCTTCATAAAGCTAACGTGACTCCGCTTAAAGGATGATCCTTTATTCTCAAATATATCTGCTTCCTGTTGTTCTAGGTGGTAAAACATTGTTTTAGTCAATATTGTGTGCTGATAGGATTTGGTAATTTTTTTGAAAAGTTCTTGGTTGGCAAAATAAAGTTGGTAACCTATTAAATCTCCCTAGTTTTATTTTGATAATTTCCTAGACCCTGACACCCATTTTACCATTAATGAAAGGACTTTTAATTGTGGAGATGCCAGGAAGGAAATTGTGCAGTCTCACTCCATTTACCAAATGGCCACTAATTTGGCAATTTTGTCTATCTAGGACACAGCTGGAGAGCCAGAAGTTGTTAAAAAGAAAAATCCTGACCAAGTAAAATAAGTGCTTGTATTTTATTACTAAGAAAATGCCTCCAAGCCCTTCATCAGAGTCTTGTCTACCTTCATTATGAATACCTTTCTTATGGGCTCGATTCTGGCAGTTGGTAGCTGTATATCTGAAGGCAAAGGTATTTGGGGAGAAAAGATTGCACACAAGGCTGGACTCTGACAGGATAGCAATAATTATTGTTGTAATGTGATGGTAATATGTTAATAATAGAGAACAATAAGATAATAACCTTGATGTTATAAAATCATAAACACAGTGTAGTTTCCTATATCCATAATAGCATTATTATAATAATGTACTGATATAAATAATATGATCACACTGAAACATGTGATTTTGAGCCTTTGGAGGGCTCTTCCTCAGGAGACTCTGAGGGTACCTTGTCCTGAGCATATTCTAGGTCTGTGCTGGTGACACCTGTCACTTATTCCCTCCATGCCTCTGCACCTGTGGGAGCTCTCTCTGGTACCAAGTTGGGCTCAAGCTTCTCTCTTCAAGATCCAAGCAGTTAACGGTGGTGACATTTCACTGCTTCTCTGAGTCTGTGAGGATAACACAAGTGGATTGCAGGCAGAAAGGCAGAGCTAAGCTGCAGTCCTGTTGGTCCTCTGGTGCTCATGGTGTTGGTCTTGACTGCAGCCACCTTCCTAGAGAGTGCTCACCACTCCAAGAGCATCACAGTTTATGGCCTCACTAGCCCCTTGTCACCTGTGACAAAGGAAGCAAAAACTTCTTAAAATCACACACACATTGTGTGTGTGTGTGTGTGTGTGTGTGTGTGTGAAGAGCCCCTCTCTGCCATCAAAACAGCCTTCTTCATTTTCAAACACAACATTTAGCTCTTAGTTTGAATTAGCTACTTAGTTTGAGTCCTTAGTTCAAAGATTCTCCAAGATCAACAGGAAAATTTCCTTGCATTTCATGACATAAAAGAGCAATTTCTTTTTAAAAGAGACAGGGGGGATCCGCTTCAAGGGGAAACCCTTGCTCACTTTCTGTAGGTACAGTGTCTCCAGCCAGTGAATTTCCCTCTTGTTAGCCAAGACTGAATAATAGCTTCGGTAAACGTAAAAAGAATTTTAGTTTATTGTGCTATTCATAATACAACAGCTACAGACATGACACACTTTTTATATTTAATCAGTATTTTAAACATTTTCTCCATCACTGTAAGTCTGCAAATAAATCCAATAGTAAATTCAGCCCTAATTTGTACCATTTGCCAGATTCCAAGGTGAACATATTCTCCATGGCCAGTTTTAAGCCACCAAAGACGGGATGCCTAATTGTGAGACGGGAAAAGATCCTCAACACCACTCTCTTGGCAGGAAAGAGGCAAAGTAAAATAGCTAGACAGTGATGAGTTTTGATGAGTGATGAGTTTTATTGCTTACACCTTAGCTGTAAATTTATACACTTCAGTTTTTACCAGTAGCTCTGTTTAATGATCAGCTTGCAATATTCCTAAAATTTCAGCAGTCATCTCTTACAGACTAAGATGAGCCAGCTCTAGCACCCCACTGCTCAGAGTTCTGCTGGGCACAAGGTGCCTACAGCTGCTTGGTTGATGTCCCCTCTGCCACCAACAGAGCCAATCACTTTAACCCGTGGTTGCTGATGCACAGAACTTAGTTCCCTCATCAGTTTGAGTAAGAAACCCAGTCAGACCAAGCATTCCTTATTGTAGGGGCCACAGTGTGGCGGACAGCATTTCATTAAGTGACTCTTGGGATGCATCTATTTTTCTCTGAACTCCACTTTATCTGGTCATGGTTATTACCTTCTTGCTCCTGGTACCCATGGAGTGCAGCATTACTGCCCCTTTCTTGGCTTATTCTCCCCACCTCAGGGTGAGCGGCAGCCCAGCCTTCCTCCTCACTAGTTTCAGCACCTCTCTGGAGGCCCAGGCAAATCTTAGCCCCCCACAGGTGGGGAAATCATCAGCATTTTCATCCCACCCACCTCATCTGCACCTCTGAAAGGTGCATTCCGCACCCACCTCCAAGCATCTCCTGACTTTATTGTATCTGGATGATTTTATTTTCCTAGGGAAGTTTTAGTGCAAAGATTATTTAATTAGGATTCCAGATTTGACAGGCTGAAAGGTCAAAGGCTAGCGGCCCTCCCACCTCTTGGCTATTTAGTGTTTAATCTCTCCCCAAGTACAGGGAAAAAGAGGTGTGGGCGAATCCTTTGCAGGCTGACTCCTAGGAATGGAATTAGGTCACTGGCCATAAACTTCTTGTTATTGGAACCAATTTGCCTTTCTACCAGGCCAGTGAACTCTGAGGGAGTTTATGACAGGCAGACACATGGACAAAGCTATCCTCCCTTAAGTCCGGTTGGGGAGATACATTAGTCAGCTCGGCTGCCATGCCAGATATCATAGACTTGGTGGCTTACATGCAGAAATTTATTTTCTCACAGTTCAAGTCCAAGACCAAAGACCAGTAGGGTTCAGAGCTAATGACAGCTCCCTCACTCATGGCTACCTTTTCGTTGTGCCCTTAACTGACAGAGCAAGAACAAGCTCTGGGCTCTCTTCTTCATTTAAGGATGCTAATCCTATAATGGAGGTTCCACCCTAATGAGCTCACCGAAACTTAATTACCTCCCCAAGGCCCCAAAGTGTCTCTCCATTCCTTCATAATGAGAGTTAGTGCTTCAACATATGAGCTTGTGGGAGGATACAAAGGTTCAGTCCGTAATAGGAGGGGAAAGAGAAGAGGAGAGCATGGTTTGAAAAAAGAAGAAAAGAAAAAAGCCTGCCAGGCTGCTGTAGCAAAATATGGCAAACTGGATGACTTAACTGATACTTATTGCCTCATAGTTTCAGAAGCCAGAAGTCCAAGATTAAGGTGTTGGTAGTGTTGGTTCT